ATTTTGATAGAACTATTATATTTAGAATGTTAATCATAAATATCTTTTCATATTCTTCAATATCTTTTTATATTTTTTAATATATTTTAATATCTTTTCATATTTTTCAATATTTTTTCATATTCTTTAATATTCTTTAATATCTTTTAATATTTTTTAATATTCTTTGATACATATATTTCTAAATATTAATATTTAAATTATAATATTTTAATTATAATATATATATTTAGATAGTATTAGCTAGTAATACTATAATAATTTATATACTTAAAAATATATAAAAGAATCTGCTATTTTAGCTTGAAATAAATAGTTTTGAATTAGAAAATATAATTAAAAAGCTTATTATTATAATAATAGCAATCTTTTAAAGATTTCTTGTCTAATTATATTAATACTCTTTTTTTTATTCAGTTTTATTTCTTTAACTATACAAAGTTGATTTTGATTTAAATTATAATATTATATTGATTTTTAATTTTTGATATTATTTTAAGAGTAAAAGATCTTTACTACAAATAAGCTATACTTTTTATTTTATTTATTTTATTATTTTTGAAAGTAAAAGATCTCTACTATAAATAAGTCATATCCTTTTTATTTAGTTATTTAGTTTTTGTATTTTAGTTTTAATCTTTTTTTAATTATAGTCTTCTTTAATTAATAATAGTTTTATTATTTAATTATTTTAAATCTTGAATTATATTAACTATTAGTAGCTTTACTAAGCTAATCTTTATAATTTCTTTGATTTATTTTATTCTTTTATTATTTATTTTATCTTTTGAAAAATAATATTCATAGATATTAATATAAATCTTAGAAATCTTTATTATTATTTAAAGTATAATTTAATTCTTCTCTTTTTGCCTTTTAATGAATTCAATCTCTTCCAATTCTATATCATTAAGATGAATTCAAGTAAAAATCTACTTATTAATTCATTATAATAATACAATATTTAAATTAAGATAAGTATTATTGAGAATTTTCACTATCTTCTTGCTTATTACACTTTTTTTTAGTTATAATTTGCTCAAGATATTTTCATTATTCATAACTAAGTTTTTTTGAATAATTTGAATATTGGTTTTGCTTTAAATTATTTATTTTGGCAAGCTTAACAGTTTATCTATATAATATTTTGATAGAAAATCCAGTTATTCTTTGAAATTTGATAATTTTTCTATATTTATATTTTTATAATAACTTAATAAGAAAATATCTTCTTGCAAGAAAACTTATATATAATGATAATAATAATAAAAATATTTTTATCTATCTTATATTATATAATAAATAGATTTATAACTGGTTTTAGTATTATGATAATATAAAAAAGAATCTGGTAATATAATTTTTAAAAATAAAAGAATTATTACTTTTTTTCATTATCACTGTATATTAAGAATAAATAAAATTTTACTAAAAGATCAAATATTATAATTTTATAAAAATTCTCTTTTCTATAAGCTAAAAATATTTATTTTATTTATTATTAATATAATCTTATCAGATTATTTCTAAACATAAAATAAATAAAATATTAGTTATAAATAATAATATTAATAATATTAGAAATATTTTATAAGTGAAATAAAAATTTATATTAGATCTAAATAGAAATTCTTTCTTAATTATTGATAATATTAAAAAAAAGATATACTTAATATTAATATACTAAATTAATTAAAGAATTTATTTAAGTAAAAGAAAGTCAAATAAAAATCTTTTTTATTTATAATATATATACTAAAAAAATTAAGAATCTTACTACTTTTGCATTTCTTTTTTCTATTACAGAAAATGCAAATTATGCAAGCTTATAAGTATATTTTCTTGTCTATATTAATGATGATTCTTTTTTAAAAATAATTCTTCAACAAGTTTGTTTTGTTAATTTAATAAAAGAAGATTATTATCTTGTTTTTGATGAAGTATTAAAGACTTTTGATATAAAACTTATTAAGCAAAATATTGAAGAAAATCCAATAGATCAAGAAAATTTATTACTTAAATACAATCTTCTCAAACAGAATGAACAGAATGAGAAAGATTAGATATGTTACTTTTAGAATTTCTTGATGATTCTGTTTATAATAAAGAAAATTGTGAAATTGATAATTGAAAAGAACATTGGCAATACAACTTGTTGAAGTATTTTTATTAAAGGATTCTACAACACATACACTTTTTAAATATAGTCATGAAATGACTATATCTGATTATCAAAAAATATTTACTTATTATGAAACTGAAATTACTCATCTTATTTCAATTTTAGAAGAAGATGTTTATAAAACAAAAACACAAAACACAACTGGAAGACAAACACCAACTCTTCAACATTATAAATAATCAAGCTTATAACTTTTATTAAACAAGAAAAGAAAAATAAAAAAAAAGAAAATTCAAAAATTTCATTTGAATTAAAACACGAAAGACACATAACAACAGAATCAGAAAAAGCAATATTGATATGAAAATTTGCATTTGAACAACAAAATGTATTATCTAATGAACCAATAAAAAGGTTATGAAAGAACTAGACTGGGATGAAAAAAGAATTAAAATATACTTTATATATTTTGATTCTTTATATTTATATTTTTGGATTTTTCAATATAATTAAAATAAAATACATACAAGTAACTATTAAAATACATATATAATAAACTAGGATATTAAAAAGTTTAATTGTAAAATAGTTTAATAATTATAAAAGATAAAAGAAAATAATAGATCTTATTATCATACTGTTCCATCTGTAAACTCGAGGCTATTATTTTAGTGACTAGAAATTGCAATATTAATTTATTTATTTTGTGAAAATATAATTGGTTTCATTAAAAGATTAGGATAAAATTAGATTTCAATTTTTTACAGGGAAGGTGCTTATTATTGGAAAAGTTTGGTATATAATTTTTTGATGACTATCAAATTATATTGAATGTGACATACTGTGACCGTGAAGTCTTTCATTCGAGTAAATGCTTACAAAATCAAAATTAAATTCTTCATTTATTGTGCTTTCTGAAATGTATTCCGAGTCTGAATCACTTATAGTAGCTAAAGATATATAATCTACATTAACAGAAGAGTCAATATAAAATGTTATATGTGTGTGTGAGTTCGTTTGTATTTTTAACGTTAATACAAAAATAATCTATGGTAATATTATCGTTATAAAAATTGGTTACATTCAAATTAAGACTTTCATAACAGTTTTAGCCTGTTAAGAAAAAAAACATATATTTCTAATAGATAAAATGTTTGTAACGAAAGTTTATTAATAAAAAGCGTCTTCTTTGATTTAAATGTAATGCACTTGTTATAAGAGCAAAGTAATTTTTCTTGCGTTTTATCTATAGAAAAATTTGATCATCATACAACATCTCTATAATAAATGGATTTGCCTCAATTTTAGCGTGACATGTGCGCAATTAATCGATTTTTAAATCGATCTGACATAATATGCTTAATAAGAATTGTCAGTAACCGAATAAAAAATGACACCCGACTTGTTATTGACTTCACACTCAAACAGACTTGAAAAATTCCAACTATTGTAATATTTCGATTATTGTTGGTGAGAAACAAAGTATTTTGCGTACTTTTTCAGCTCACTCGGCAATTTGATGGCGTAGTCGCATTATCACTCGCTGACGCTTGGGTGAAGCGCGAACCAAATAAGATGATTATCTTTAAGAAACCAAACATCAAACCTCGAGTTTTTGAGTTATTACTAAGGTAATTTCATGCTAAAATGAACAACAATACGATAAATATATTAATAAATTTAATAGTTGATATAGATATATTTACAGTGGAAAAATCGATTTACAAGATCACTATGTTTCGACACTTTTAATTGCGGCCGATGAGATGATCCTTGAGGATCTAATTGAATATATTCAAATTTATCTTCTCAAACACCATTCTGAATCTTTGGTAGAAAGTTTTGCTAACGTTAATCAAATCGCATTCGATCATAACTCATTCGTCAAACTTCACAAATTTTGCACGGATATCGCATGTCAAAATCCAGCCGTTATTTTTCAATCAAGCGATTTTACCAAATTACGCGAATCAGCTCTAATTTCTTTACTGAAATGGGACGATCTAAATTTGAATGAAATCGACCTTTGGGAAAAGGTGCTTGAATGGGGAATCTCTCAAGCTGCAGATAGAGGCGAAAGTGATTTGATGATTCCACTGGAAAATTGGACGCATAACAGCTCAAATCGAATCTCGAAAATTGTTTACCATTGATTCGTTCAATTCGGTTGATTTTTATAACAAAGCTGAAATTTGCCAGGATTACTATTGCATCAATACTTGGTGCCAGGAAGCGAATAACAAAAAGCTACCTTCATCCAGTTCGCAAACTTATAAATGTCGACTCTTCAATTCTTTCGCATAACCAAATCTCAACTGGGCTAAAGAACAAGATGATTATCAAAAAAAATGAATCAAACTAATACGAGGTAGTCGCGATGGTTTTAATAATACCGACTTTCATCGTCTGTGTGATAATAAAGGTCTAACAATTGTTGTTATTCGTGTAAAAGATGAGAAAAAGATTATAATCTGTTTGAGCGGGAATTTACTTAATAAAGATTACTCCATTTCAAATAGCTTTTGATATAAATTTGATTCCGAAGATGTTCAAGCTACCAATAACATTCTAAACAAGCACAAAAATGGGTTCAGTGTGAGGTGCTGTGTAAATGCTGATTCAAATTTTGGAGGAGGCGATTTAAACTTAACTGGCGCCAATTTTGATTAGTAGTCACTGTAGAAAAAATTCCTATGAACATGAATTATTGAGTTCTGATGGACGAAAGTATTTATGGTGGCGAAATATTCTCTTCATTTATGTTACTTTCATTAATATGGTTTTTATGACGATTTACAGACATATACCTCATTTTAAAATCGATTTCTAATCTACAATATTGAACAGATTGAACAGATAGTAAAATTAAATAGATTTCTTAAAGCTTATGTCCGTAAATTCGATATTGAAGGGAATATGTGTCACATTTTTCTGCTTCGATAAAGACCGTTTCTGCTAGAGCATCAAAATGTTCAGGCGTGATATTCATAAAAGATGACATGATGTTCCTGGAAGTGCTTAAACCTCTCATATAAAATTTTAATGTCTTAGAAACAATGATTGGTTTAGATGAAGAACTTCTTTAGAATTATATCTTTTAATGGTTGCAAACATATGCATATTCTGATGTTATTGAAATTTACCTCTTGACCAGATTTACCACCTTTTTTACCTAAAGTAATAGATTTTTGCTCAGTCCTAATTTCTGAGAAAGCATTGGTGCTTTTTAGAAGTTGATGGATATATTCCTTAAGGTTGCAATTCAACCCTTTTGATTCATAGTAACCCTTCACTAAAAAATAATATCAGTATAAACTTTAATTTTTTATTTCAATCTTGCTACCAAGTCACGTTACTTACGACCATTCATAATACGTTGCGTAGCTTTTCCAGTAGATGTAAGGGAATCAGCTTCCGCAAATTCAATCCATCCACCTGATTTGGTTATTCTTAACAATTCCGGTATAACATTTTTTTCCCACTGCTCATCGGTATAAGCAACACACATGAATTTTTGGTGTGTAAAATCAAAATACGAGTCTTCGAAAAGTAAACCGTCCAGAAAGTTGCAGTTAACGAATTTTAAATTTTCCGGAAGACCTTCTGTAGGAAAAATTGGTGAAAAATCTATTCCTACAAAGTAAGATTCGGGATACGTTCGGGCCATATCCTGGATGATTTGTAAAAGGATGCACGCCTATTAGTTTAAATAATAAACTATTCATGAAACGATATTAAAATAAAACAGCTTATTACCAAAAGCCATGTTCCTGTTCCACATCTAAAATTAAATTATATATTTTCGTATAAATCAAATTTTAAAATAGATATAGATACACTGTGTACATGCACATATTTACCCGACATCAATAACTTTAGCGCCGCATTTTAATTTCTCTTCAACAGGTGAACGGAACAATCCTCCCCAAATATTTTTCATCGCTTGCGGATTAGAAAAATAAATCATATTTATTTTGGTAATAATTTAATTGATATATGTTTCTCAATGCAAAAGTACTACCTTCATGATATCGTATTAAACGTTCAGCCTCTACTTCATCATTCGCCAATATATACTCTGAATTGGAGATATTGTGATATCGTCTACCATCAATATAACGAAACCTAGCAGCATCTTCGTCATCGCGTCTAGAGCAACAAGCACCCATCTTGAGTAAATTCAAGTATAAAAATTACTTTGCATATATATACGTTATCAAAAAATTGATAACGATAACGATACATACAGTTTAGAATTCATTTAGCGTTAGCTTTAATATTAAACAAAATGCGGATCCTATCGATGTGTTTACCTTACATGTATTAGCTCCAATTTTTTGCATTTCATTCTACATGCATTGGTATTTTGTGAACATGCACATGTAATTTAGTTTTACTGAATTTGCAGGTTTTGCAGCCATTACCGTTACGTTTTAGAATATGATTTGCGTTATGATGTACTGTACATGTATGAATTTAAAACATTATCGTTATCATTATCGTTATAAAAATGATCTATATACGAAGTTTAACAATCAAATTACATGTAAATGCATTATCAAAAGAACCTATTGAAAAATTGACTATTAAATTTATCTCGATATCCAAAGTAAAATGTGCCATTTAATTCGTCTAGATTAGACGAATTAAATGCTTTTGGATTTCGAGATATTGCGTCTCAAAGCCATCGAATTTTGAGCATACATGTAAGGAACTTCACGTTTTCAGTTTGCAGAATTCGCAGTAAATTATTGCGGAGAAATGCAGTAAACTGGATACTTGCATAAGGTATGGCAAGGAAATTAAGGGGACATAATAAGTTACTGATACATATACCACCTGCTCCATATATACCGATACAATATGTCTATAATTTTACATTGAACATTATAATTCTGAGTGTTAGGAATATATTTTTAATCTTTCTATAATCAAATAGAAAACTTATCATAGAAATTCGGCGCATTATTTTGAATTTTAAAATAGATTATATATATGTCTGAATATCATTTATTCAGTGTCAAAAGATTCTTGAGACACAAAAAATGGTTTAACCACCCAACTTGAATTGAGTATGATGTACAATTGGAATGAACTCAATTTTATTTTCTGTTGTACAGTCAAACCATGACCGAATTTAATATTAATATATACAGTCCAACCTTGAATGAAGTGGACCAGTATAATTTAAAAATTTGTCAATTAGATGTGTTTATTATAAAATTCTGGAACCCACCTTCTGCTTATCTAAAGTCTTATTGTCGTAGTTTTACTGTAGTCTTAATCTTACAAGCTTAAATACAAATTGTTATAAATAAATTATGCGACTGTCTTTGTGATGCTGTTTACTTCCAAGTCACTCTGATAATGCGCAACCAAACAATCAATAACACAATGTTTCTTAATTGAAAACTCAATATAAAAAATATTTATTGGATTAAATAACGTTGAGCTCACAAGAAAATACCGCATCCTGGCACTAGTTTATGAACTTTGTTTTAAGTATTTAAAAGTCAATATTCTAGACTTATTCAAAAAATTTTAATCTATAACTACTTATGGATTATTTATGAAACTGAGTTTTGTAAGCAAAAATGATTTGTCATTACAGTCATGTTAGTGATCCCACATTATAGGTCGCTATACATGTACATGTATCTATTTTGCAGGTACATGCATTCTTTATCAATTATCATTCAACACAAATCTTTACATCTTAATTAAAATTAAATTGTAATATAATTAAAAATTAGCTTGTAATCATTTAAAAAACAGCAAAGCGATAATAAATAAATGATATTTAAACTTTTATGTAAGTTAACAATTTTTGAATATGCTTCGACAGGCAAGAACATTACATTTTATTATGATCTAAAAGGCAAATCTATTTCTATTTAAACACTGGATCCAACTTTGTGTTAAAGTTAATTATGCGTTATTCTTCAAGTTGTCTATAAATGAGAAAAAAATTCAATTCTTTAAGGCAGTGTTGTCAATTGGAATAAATTCATTAGTGCGCCACGGGACTACTGGACTCAATAATTTTATAAGTCCAATCCAGTAACTTTTGGTAACTGGACCTAATAACGCGACAACACAGCTTTAAGGATTGAATGATAATTACAATCAAGTCCAAATCAAATTATTTATGCTTTAAGCACACAAATTGCTTAGCCATGTATAATAAGTAGGAAACAATATAAATGTAAATCTGGTTTTTTGTAGTTTTATTTGCTAGATTTTTATTCTCAGATCTAAACTTTATATTCTTGTCTTTGCATCTTTCAAAAAAGTGAGATTTGTTTATATTAATCAAATTTTTTTGCAGTAACTTGATAAGAGTATTTGAAGACATATTAATTTAATAATAAAATTAGAAAATTCTATAAATTTTCAAAGATAGATGTAAATAAAAAAGAATCTCTACAATATTAACTCGAAAAGTATAATAAAAAATAAAAAGTTTTTATTTTCTAGAAAATTAGGCGCACTCCATAAAAAAGTAACACAAAATTTGAACGTTTAAATTTTAATTTTTCTGATTGCTGATTCTGTCTGGATACACACTTCAGAGCACTTATACATGCACTGTCAAATATTTGTCTTTGATACAGAAAGAGTGATCTCAAACAATAGCGTTTAAAGGAGACTTATATAAAAGAGATCGTTTGTCCTCTTTAAACATATCTTAATATATGGCAGACACTAATAAATAAATGGAACCAAATAATGAATCGAAGAGTTTATTTTCACCTTTTGTTCTAATTCTGTTCATCTAATAATAATTCAATGAAGGCTAAATTGACAAATAAATGAGATTAATATTATTATTTTATTTAATATGTATTAATTATCTTAATTTTTTGATTGTTGATAATTCAAGCTGTACATTACGCTATCCTTAATTTAGGGAGTAAGAAATCAACGTGTTGTTTTGCATTTTCATTTATTCGATATTGATATTAATTTATTTAACTATCCTTTACATTTAGATTGCAAGAAATCAACGATATTTTCATTTTAATTTTATTTGAAATTAATTTATTTTCTTAATCATTATTCTATCCTTTATTTAGATTGTAAAAAATCAGTGATATTTTCATTTTCATTATATACAATATTAATTTATTTAATTATTCTATTATTCATCCTTTATTTAATGATAAGAAATCAGCAATTTTATATTGATTAATAGTTCGTTTCGGCTGAGGAACTTCATTCTTTGCCATTTTCTCAACCCTTACTTAATTGTTCGTTTCGGCGATTTCGTTCCTATTTAATTAATCCATTATTCTATTTTAATTTTATTTGATATAATTCATTTAACTAATCCATTTTGGTATTCTTTATTTTAGGCTAAGAAAGATACATCTGAATTGTAAATATATACTTTACTGTAAACTATTAATATTTTAAAGAATTTTCATTAAAAAAGATGTTTGTCTTATCTAAGTAACAGAATAATAAATTAATAAATTTTAATCAAAAAAATTTATTCGTAGATTTATAATACGCAGTGCATGGATTCTGCAACGGAATTCTATTTTCAATGATTATGCCTTTGCATATTTGTTGTTTTGCAAATTTTATTTATTATTTTAATAAATTTACATTATTAAAGTGTTTCGTTTATTAATGAAATTATCTTTCATTGATTATATTTGTCCTTGAAATAATTTTTATCTTTATGCATAACAATTTAATTGTAGAATTATTTGTTCATATTTTTAGTTGTTTTGAATTAATGAATAATTATTTTTTGATACATGTAATGTGATTTCTTATCTGACTGAAGTTTAATCTGCTAGTATTTCACGCTTATAAAATACACTGTATTGGTTATAGTATTAATAATTAAAACGTTCATATTTGTTATTTACAAATGGAATCAACAAAATAACAAATATATGTAATAAATCGAAATCGATTACTTTTTTGAGCAAGCGCACCTTCATGTGTGTATAATCAATAAGACACTAATTTGAATGTCATTAACATTATAATGACTAATGTGAAAAGAAAATTATTCGAAATAATCTCGAGTTATATAGACGGAATATTCAACTAAAAGAAAAATAATTTTAATACAATATACTGTATATAAAACGTAGAAAAAATCATCTACAATGTGTCTTTTAATATATTTGATTTTTTTATTGCATCGTTGTCACCGTTTTCAGATGCAATTTTATACCAATTTTTAGCTTTTTTGATATCTTTAGAAATACCAATTCCATTTTCATAGCACACACCAATGTTATATTGTCCTCGAGCATTTCCACCCTCTGCTGATTTCAAGTACCATTCAAATGCTTTTTTCTCATTTTTTTGTGTTCCGATTCCGTCACGATAACACACACAAAGATTATTTTGTCCTCTAGTATCTCCGCCCTCTGCTGATTTCAAGTACCACTCAAATGCTTTTTTCTCATCTTTTGGTGTTCCGGTTCCATTTCGATAACACACACCAAGATTGCATTGTCCTGTAGCATCTCCACCCTCTGCTGATTTCAAGTACCACTCAAATGCTTTTTTCTCATCTTTGAGCGTTCCGATTCCATATTGATAACACGAACCAAGCTTATTTTGTCCTGTAGCATCTCCATTCCCTGCTGATTTCAAGTACCACTCAAATGCTTTTTTCTCATCTTTTAGTGTTCCAATTCCATATTGATAACACGAACCAAGCTTATTTTGTCCTGTAGCATCTCCACTCTCTGCTGATTTCAAGTACCACTCAAATGCTTTTTCCTCATCTTTTTGCGTTCCAATTCCTTCAGCATAACAAATACCAAGACTACATTTACCCATAGCATTTCCACCCTCTACTGATTTCAAGTTCCATTCAAATGCTTTATTTTCATCTTTTGTCGTCCCGATTCCATCTCGATAGCAAGAACCAAGATTATATTGCCCTGCTACGTCTCCACCCTTTGCTGATTTCAAGTACCACTCAAATGCTTTTTTCTCATCTTTTGGTGTTCCGATTCCATCTTGATAGCACATACCAGCTTTATTTTATCCTGTAACATCTCCACCCTCTGTTGATTTTAAGTACCACTCAAATGCTTTTTTCTCATCTTTTTGTGTTCCGATTCCATATTGATAACATAAACCAAGATTATATTGTCCCGTTATGTCACAACCCTTTGCTGATTTTAAGTACCAT